CGCGGGCTCAGGCAATCCACTCACCTCAGCCTCCCAAAAGCACGAGATTACAGGCTGAGCGACCGAGCTGGCTCAGAACAGTGGTTCTTAACAGGGTCTGCTTGACTCCCAGGGGACATTTGGCAGTGTCTGGAGACATTTTTGGTTGTCACAATATGGAGGAGGGGGCACTACTATTACCAAGTGAATGGAGAGGCTGGGATGCTGCTTAGTATACTATAGTATAGTGCACAGGACAGGACAGCCTTTGTCCCACCTGCGACACATACAAATTCTGTCTTGGAAGGCAATGCTCTCTTGGAACAGAGCTGCCCTGGAGTCAGTAGGAGCTGTCCATCTGGTTCTCCATCTGGTGACTTTCTTGCCTCTCTCTACTTCTAAGCAAGTGGTCCCACCCCACCCCACTCCATCTCCCACGTCTTCAGAGCCACTGCTGACCCTGCAGGTTTATGCGGCATAGCACCCAGAGCCCGCCGGACTTTTAGAGGCCCACAAAAATGTTTCCATTTCTTTTATAACTGGAAGGAAAGAATGCACTTTTTTTTTTTTGAGTTGGAGTCTCACTCTGTCGCCCAGACCGGAGTGCAGTGGCCACTCCTGGCCACCGCAGCCTCTACCTGCTGGGCTCCGGCGATCCTTCCGCCTCAGCCTTACGAGTAGCCAGAATTACAGGCACACGCTACCACGCCCGGCTAATTTTTTGATTTATTGTAGAGATGAGGTCTTGCTGCCCAGGCGGGTCTCGAACCCGTGGGCTCAGGCAATCTACTCACCTCAGCCTCCCAAAGGCGCGGGATTACAGGCTGAGCCACCGAGCCCGGCTGGAAAGAATGCACTTGAAGAAAATGTTTTAGGACGGGGGTGGTGGCGCAAGGCTGTAATCCCAGCACTTTGAGAGGCCACGCTGAGGGGACTGCCTGAGCCTACAGGTTCAAAACAATCTGAGCAACTTGACGAGACCTCATCTCTACAATAAATCAAAAAAATTATCTGGGTATGGTAGTATGCACCTGTAGTTATGGCTACTTGGAAGGCTGAGGTGGAAGGATCTCCTGAACCCAGCAGGTCAATGCCAGGGTGGCCGTGAGCGTGCCACTGTACTCCAGCCCGGACGTTGGAGTGAAACTCCAACTCAAAAAAAAAGAAAGAAGATGTTTTAATATATTAATACATTCATCTTTACATGGGTGTAATTTACATGGGTGTAAAGATGAATGTGTTAATATATTAAAACATCCACAGTTATGATTTTACATGTTTTTTCTATGGAGAAAGAACCCATAGTGTCAAAGTGCTTAGTGCCAACGAGGCATAATATGGCCTCCTCCAGGAGTGCTCCTTTGGGGCTGGGCTGAAGAACAGGATGCGGAGGCACGAAGGTGGGTGTCAGAGTGGGTGACCTCAACATTCTCTCCAGAGATGTCTTCATGAAGGGCCTACACTACCCTTGGGGATGTGCCATCTGCCTAGATCCCAGGACTCAGCTGGGCACATCATGTAGAGTGGCCTGATCTTCATATTTGTGGCCATCCTGGAGATGATGCTCTCATTTTTTCTCACCCCATGACTAAGTGCTCCAATGTAGGCCATGAGTATGTGTTCAAAACCCTTTGAACATATGGAAATATGGAAGCTTATAGTAGCCATACCTGCTGATACTTTTTGGGCAATTATCCTGTGCCAGACCCTAGACTGTGTTCATGCTCCAATTTAATTTTCTCAACCATCTATGAGGTAGGTGCTACTGACATTTATATAGATTAGAAAATTGAGACTTAGAAATATTAGGAATGTGCCCCAGGTTAGTAAGTTATTCCGCCAATAAATTCAAGGGAAAGTCTATAATTCAAAATTAATTTGGGTGAAACTGGGAGGAATGCAAGTTGGCTATTGACCCTAGATCATTTCTGTATGCACTACACTTGTTTTTGTTAATATGTTACATTCATTCATTCACGTGTCTACATTGAGCACAGGTTCTGCACTAGAAACTGAGATCGGTGAGAAGAGTCAGACTGAATCCGTGCATTCTGGGCACTGACAACCCAGCAGAAGCAGCGAATAGGGAATCATCCAGTACAATAAATGTACCGTTAGGAGGGCTTTGGCAGATGGAAATACAGGTGCATGTGGGAAATCTGCCCATCTTCCGGCCTTGGGGTTGACTTCCATCTCCTCCCCAACAAAGCTGCTTCTCTGCCAAGCTTCAAGTAAGGCACCATAACATGGGAAGTCACTGCTGTTTTGAATCTGGATCTGAAATCCCCAGCTGGCTAACAGTTGTCCCTGTCCCACTGCCTCTTGCCTGTGGGAAGCTGTCTGTTTGGTTGAAATCAGGAAGTCTACCTGATTTCTCTGGAAATGCCCAAAGGCGTTCTCTTTTTTTCTAGCAGAAGGATGATGATGTGCTCAGCTTCCACACCGATGGCCATTGCAGGAGGAAGGATAAACAGCCTTGGAGTAGTCGCCTGGCTTATGGCATCCTAGATACCCCACCATGGTATCTCTGCATCTTATTGGGGATCCAGGTAAACTCTTCCAGCAAGTGCTGGGTCCAAAGGGGCCCTGCCTCGATAGCCACATCAACACATAGTCAGGTCAGTCACCATCAACAATTTCAGTTGCTGAAGTTGTTGTTGACCTCCAGGGGATCTCAAGAATCCTCCAGTGTCTTTCTTTCCAGGGATTTGGGGATGGGAGTGGAGAATTGGAGGAAGATTTTCCTTCACACTGAGCTGACTGGTCATGTTGAGGACACTGACTGGGCCACTGTTCCTGCAGGTGGAATCACTGGGCTGGTTAAAGTCCTGTTCACTTGGGTGAGGCGAGAGAGGTACCAGGCCAACTCTGTGTCCTTAGAGTGGGCCCTGCCAGTCAGAGCTTCTCTTCCCAATTTAGCTTCCACCAAAATGCCTAGCATTCTGTAAGAGCAAGTTATTTATCTGATAAGAGGGGTTAGAGCTGTCTGATAAGTGTGGTTGGCCAGTGCTGCTGGGCATGATATGAAATAGGAAATAAGATGTGTCTGGATTCTTGGCCTGGAGAATATTGCCACCTGTATTAAACTAGCTGGCATCAGATTAAAGAAGAATTTATAAGAGACTAGAAAGTCCTGTAGGAACAATGCAAGGACTGTCAAAGTACTCCTACAGGACATAGGCACTTCTCTGAAAAGCCCCCTGTGTTGGCTTCCCCAAGGAGGGAAAGGTGCAGTCAACTCCCAGTTGACCACAGGTCGTCTGCTGAACCTGTTAGGTCAATCAAAGAAAGAACAAAATGTGAGGTCTTTTGTGGGAGTTCAAAGTCTCCCCTGTAGGAGGCACTATGCTCATCCTCCCCTCCAGCCTTCCCCTTGCTCCGCCACTGCTGAAGGTCAGAGCTATTTATACTGGTCAGGTTACTTCAGGATGTCCACTGAGGGGATTAACCACAACTGGCTGAGTGGGCCCTTTGAGACACTGCTAACAGAGGCTGGAACTGCCCCCTTGAAGGACTGGCCACTTACCTTTCACTTTTCTTCTGGAGCTGCCCCCACCCATGTGACTGGAGAGACACAGGTGCTCTCCTTCTGGGTGTTCTGGCCCAGGCTTCCTCTGGGGACAGGTCTGTCCGGCCATAGACTGGCCAAGATGTTTTCTTGCTCTCTTCTCCGGCTCGGAGGGGAGGGTGTGGTCATCTGTCCTATTGGGATAGTACATTTTGAGACTCAACTTTGCCTTAAGTGGGTGGGGGTTGGAAAAGTAGGCCTGTGCAGTGTGTGCATATTTTTTAGGTCTAATTTTCTTAAGAAAAAAATCAATCTTTTCAGGCCTAATATAGCTGACGTTGAGATCAAAGTCCCAACTAGATAAGGACATCATAATTTGCCTTGCCCTGCTTCCTTTTGTGTAGCTCTTACTCAGTGCTGTGGGAGGAGAGAGGGCTGGGACAAGGCAGGATTGTGTGTTCTGGGTCTTGTGGCGTATTTCCTAATGGCAGCTTCATGGAGCAACCCCTACAGCAGGCTTCTATTCTCTTTCTTTCCCTCCCTCTGTACCTCCCTCCCTTCCTTCCCCTCTTTCGTTCTTTTCCCCTTTTTTTCATCTTTTATTGTCTTGACTGACCCAACAGATAACTTTTGTAAACCAAGGCAAACAAAGGCTGCCTACCCTGGCAGGATTTATGCCTATTCTTATGGGATAAGATGGAGAACCAATATTATTGGGTAAACCCACAGTGACACATTTGCTGCTCCTGGTGATGGCAAACCTAAGTGATTCTGTCAGCACCAGGAGCATGAAGCCCCGTGGAAACATTGGCAGAAGCCTGACCTGAGGTGTCAGGGAGCAGGCTGCATTGGAGCAAAGGAGAAAGGCAGGTGTATTTATATGTCTTTGTTCTCAGAATGTTTGACTCAGTGACCAGATTTGAGTGGGAACTGGAGCTACATGCTGGCCAGTTCTGTAGCTCAGAACAAAACTGGCCACAGTCCATGAATGTTCCCCTAGACCTGGCCTATCTTTCAGCTCTGGGACTAGAGTGTGTGAAATAGCAGCCCACTCCTGTGTTTATTGCTTGCTCCCATACCTCTATCTTGTATTTGTCTATCAATTGATCAACTGATTGATCGATCTATCCAGCATCTACCTATTCATCTGTGTGTCTACCGATCTGTCATCTATATATAATGTATCCTCTTTATAGCTGAGGCCACTTGGCATGATTTCAGCCCTGCCCTGAACTCTGGGTCTGATTCTGTTTTGTCAGAGGAAACTCAAACAAACTTTTGTTAGGGGAAACTCAAAACTCAACCTTTTGCTTCAAGCCAATGCTTAGGCCTTCCTTGTCAGTGATCTGCTCTTACCATGTGCCTTGTTTAATAATGAGCTTCTTGCCTTGTTCTTGTTTTTAAGTTCTCACCTGATTCCTGCTATGCCCTTCCGTGCCTGAGTTCTTGCTTGCCCCGCCCCCCAGGACATCAGTTTCTGCCCTGGAGCCCAGTCCCTCCGGCTGGGTCCTGGCTTCTCGCTGTCAGGCCTTCCTGGTTCTGTTGCTTGCCTGGTCTCTACCTGTCAATCGTGGCCAGGTGCTTCTGAGACCAGAGGTGGAGCTCCAGCCTCTGGCAGTGGGAAGCCACCCTGTTAAAGCCAGGCAACCTGTCGTTGTGGGGAATAAGGTGGAGCAGGTGGCCGCAGCATCACATGCCTGTTACTGTCGCTCTCTGCCCACAGCACTTCCTCACAGCCCTGGGGGGGCTCGTGGCGGTGCCACTTCTCCTAGCCAAGGACCTGTGCCTACAACATGACCCCCTGACGCAAAGCTACCTCATCAGCACCAGCTTCTTCGTCTCTGGCATCTGCACTCTTCTGCAAGTATTTTTAGGGATCAGGTAGGTAAAACTGCTCCCCGTGATTCTGACTTTTATCTGCCAGGGTTGTCAGCAAGATTTGCTTGGCTTGCAGCCAGAGGAGGTTAGGAAGCTTGTGTGGTGTCATAGCGGGAGCATGAGGTTAGGAGTCAGAGCCTGGGCTCAAGTTCCAGCTCTGTTGCTTACTGTCTACATTAGCCAGGATTCTTCCTGGAAAGTAACACACATCCAGATTTGCTCAGGAAAAAATGTATTCTCTACTGATTTTCACTATCCAACCAAGAGAAAGTCAGGGGTACATCTATGTCTTAGGAACATGGTGAACCATAGACTCAGATACTGCTGAACTCTCTCAGGCCTGCCTCTAATATTTGCAAGATCCTTGGCAAGAGTACAAATGGAGACCCACAAACTCCATGTCCACATATTGGAAAATCATAAACCAGGCTGACAAACTGAAATAAAACATGTTCTCATCATTCTCCTGGAAGGCGAGGTTTGAATTTGGAAATCTCTGACTCCTTGAAGTTTACATTGGGAGTTGGCAGCGTGAGGAGGGCTAACCCCCTGCCTGCGACCTTTCCCCTTCTCTCTCCACTCCAAGTTTTGCTCAAAATCACAAATGGTCTCACATGCATGGATCTGGACACCCCAACTTGCACATTCAAGTTCCGTTCCATTCCACACCCCCCTCCACTACAACAAACTCTCCACAAAGGTATGGCCATCCTTCAGCCCTGGGGTGTGCCCTCTATGACAACAGACTACCCAGACAGCGGGCTGTGGCCATCCTTCAGGCAACAGCCAAGTTGCCTGTGCTATTGTCAGCCCTCAGCAGATGGATCTACAGAGGACACCTGGGCAGGACATTTGAGAGACTCAAAGGGGAGAGGGACATAGACTTCAGGTTGACATATCCCCTTGGCCCTGCAGACTCCCCTCTCAAGGAGCCAGAATGAACCCTTTAAAGCATAGAGCTAAGCATAGGGGGCTTTCTTCCCCTGGTAGGGCAGGACCATCTCTTGAGTAACCTGCTCGTGCCTGTGCTCTGGTCTTACAGACAGGCTTCCTCCACATGTGTATCAATCAGGGTTCTCTATAGGAGCAGACCAATAGGCCATGTAGACAAATGGATAAGAGGAGATTTATTACAGGAATGGCTCACATGATTATGGTCTGCAAGCTGGGGAACTAGAAAAAGTGGTGGTGTAATTTGGGCTGAGTCCAAAGGCCTGGATAGGGAGAGGGGGTAAGGTGTGAGGGGGCCAATAGTGTAAATGTCAGTCTGAGTCTGAATCTGAAGGTCCAAGAATCAGGAGCACCAATGTATGAGGGCAGAAGAAAATAGATGTCCCAGTTTAAGAAGAGAGAGAGGCAGGGCGCGGTGGCTCAAGCCTGTAATCCCAGCACCTTGAGAGGATTACCTGAGCTCAGGGGTTCGAGACCAGCCTGGGCAACTTGGTGAGACCACATAGCTACAATATATATGTATTATATATATATAAAATTAGCTGGGCGTGGTAGCACGTGCCTATAGTTCTAACTACTTGAAAGACTGAGGCGGAAGGATCTCCTGAGCCCAGCAGGTTGATGCTGGAGTGACCGTGAGCATACTACTGCACTCCAGCCTGGGCGACACAGTGAGACTCTGACTCAAAAAAAAAAAAAAAAGAGAGAGAGAGAGAATTTGCCCTTCCTCTACCTTTTTGTTCTATTTGGTTCCTCAGTGGGTTGGATGATGTCCTCCAAGTTGGCAATTTTCTTTACTCAGTCTACTGACTCAAATAATAATGTCTTCCAGAGACACCCTCACAAACACACCCCACAGTGTTTTATGTTATCTGGGCATCCCTTAACTCAATCAAGATGACACATGCAATCAACCATCACTTCAACATGATGCAGGCAGGGCTCTTGGAAATTTTCATACTTAACCCCCAAAGCAAGCAAGGGCTGCCCTCACTAGTCTCAAACTGTAAAATTCTAGGGTACAGCTCTGATTGACTCAGCTCAAGCCAAATGCCTCACCCTGGACCTGTCAAGGTAACAAATATCTGCAACTCCCATTCAGGAAGTTTTCTCAGTGAAGCAGAGAAGAGGAATTGTGTTCTGGGTAGACAAGACACCAGACATTCACTGAGCCAGATGTGTGGTTTGGGAACTGCAAAAAAATGCTAATGAGTTTAGGTACCTCTGCTCCCTTACAGTATCACTGAGATTCTCATTTTTTTTTTCTTTTTGGAGAGATGTTGCCCAGGCTGGTCTTGAACTCCTGGGCTCAAAGAGTCCTCCTATCTTGGCTTTCCAAAGAGCTGGGATTACAGGCGTGAGCCACCACACCTCAGATGCTCAATGGCTATAGTCAGTGCCATCACTTTTTTTTTTTTAATAACCATCAAGTTCTCTTTTGTTTTCCTATATGGGCTGTTAAAATTAGCCTGAGTAAAACAGAGACCTGTTACTGTGGCTTGGGCAAAATGGTGAAGCCTAGAAATGTGTCTTTGAAGCCTGCCCCCACTTATTTCCACACACCCTCTCTTTTTATGGTCACCACTGCTCCCTGTCCCACCTCGGTTCTCTAGGACTCCACACAGTGGCTCCTTTGGGTTATGCCTTCTCAGGAAATTTCTCTCTGTGGGTTCTCTTGACTTCCCTCACCCTGAACCTGTCAGGCTAGTGTCTCCGTCCTATATGTTCATTTGGCATCTAGTCCAAGGGCAGATAAGGTTTTGTGCAGCCTAAAGTTTACACAGCTTTTGGTGTCCCCTTAAGAAAGGAACAGAAGTTTGGGCTCAGTGGCTCAGCCTGTAATCCCGGCACTTTGGGAGGCCAAGGCAAGTGGATTGCCTGAGCCCGCAGGTTGGAGACCTGCCTAGGCAACTTGACGAGACCTCTTTTCTTTTTCTTTTTTCTTTTTTTGAGTTGGAGTCTCACTCTGTCACCCAGACTGGAGTTGCAGTGGCCACTCCTGGCAACCGCAGCCTCGACCTGCTGGGCTCTGGTGATCCTTCCGCCTCAGCCTTCCAAGTAGCTGGAACTACAGGCACGTGCTACCATGCCCGGCTAATTTTTTGATTTGTTGTAGAGATGAGGTCTCACCAAGTTGCCCAGGTGGGTCTTATACCTGCAGGCTTAGGTAATTCACTCACCTCAGCCTCCCAAGGCGCGGGATTACAGGCTGAGTCTCTGAGCCCGGCTGAGACCTCTTTTCTACAATAAATACGAAATTAGCTGGGCATGGTAGCATGCACCTATAGTTATAGCTACTTGGAAGGCTGAGGCAGAAGGATCGCCGGAGCCCAGCAGGCCAATGCTGGGGTGGCCATGAGTGTTCCCCTGTACTCCAGCTTGGGTGACAGAGTGAGACTCTTAATCAAAAGAAAAAAAAGAAAGGAATGGAAACTTACTAATATAAGAGCGTGCATAGAGAATATTTAGACTGAAGAAAGTAATCACAACAGATTATGCATTTTAAAAAGCAGACCATACCACAAATGTCAAAATTTTAAAAAAATAGCATGACTTTTTTTTACTTCACTGATGGTCCCCTGTAATATTTTCCCTCCTGAATTTATGGTTTCATACTCTTCAGTGACCTCATTTTTCAGGAAAAAAGGAGAAATAACTCAATCCTTTCTCTAGAATCAGCTGGTCCAGATTAATTTGTTATGGCTGTGAGTTGGGATGTGTTATTATGACTTTATACGCATGCTGTGGCACTGCTACATATATGTGCCCTACAAACACAGGAGGTCTGAGAAATGTCATTGTATGTGATTTCTATCAAAGTTTTTAAAAACTGCATAGTGCATTTACAATTGTGTATGCCACATTGCAAGGATATTTCTGATAGGAAAAAGTGCCCATTCGCCTGGCACCAGTAAGACCAAACCTTCCCTGGCAATTGTGTTTGACAGCTGTCAGTTTTCTACAACAGCTTGCGGCGCCACACATTTCAAACCTTGTCTACCATCCCCCACACACATCATGTGCAGGCACTAGAGGACACGTTTACATCACAATGTGACCATGGACCTATACCTTTACGTCATGACATGGGGTGAATGGGCACAGTGAGTGGTAGGGTTGCTGGAAACTACGACAACACCAAGATGACTAGCAATACATTAATTACACAGGGGCAGTTCAGTGGTCTCCAACAAAATGATATATCCCACTATGTTCTAACTAAATTTATCCTGATTCAACTTCCCCTTTGCCAAATCCTGAAGTCTGTGACCTTTCAAATGCCATTCAAGGTACAGTGTAGAAACAGGAAATGGCAGTGGACAGAGACATCAGTCACAGTCAATGGTGGCTGGAACCTTTGCTCTGACAGATTTTACAAAGGCATATGGCCAGTAAGCACACTGCCAGGACCCATGTCTGGACTTTAGAAGGGCCATGCACTCGAGACCTGTCACTGAATCTGCTTGTGACTTGATTGTGCTGGCCTGTGCTTGCTTGGGCATTGCAAAGGAAAAGCAAAACACTCCCTACAATGTGCTTCTGCCTGTCTTTTTTTTTTTTTTGAGTTGGAGTCTCACTCTGTCGCCCAGACTGGAGTGCAGTGGCCGCTGGGCTCCAGCGATCCTTCCGCCTCAGCCTTCCAAGTAGCTGGAACTACAGGCGCGCGCTACCATGCCCAGCTAATTTTTTGATTTATTGTAGAGATGAGGTCTCGCCAAGTTGCCCAGGTGGGACTCGAACCCTCAGGCTCAGGCAATCCACTCACCTCAGCCTCCCAAAGCGCGGGATTATAGGCTGAGCCACCGAGCCCGGCTTGCTTCTGCCTGTCTTAAGAGAAAATGACTTGGCAGGAAAAGGTAATACCTGATTAGTTTTAATTCTCTGAATCAAAACTTCATAAGTAGACTGAGATTGCTCAGCTGTCTCCAGGGTAGAGAGGATCTAGACAGCACCCAGAGGAGAATATTTATTCCTAGTGGGGTCTGAATAAAATGAAAAGTACTTCCTGAAGTGTTTTCAGGGAAACACCAATGCTTAAGCTCCCTTCCTCC